GAATTGTGGGTTTGCATCCATAGCTAAGACTGATGGGTCTGTATATATAAACTCAAACTCCAAAGAAAAGTTTAAAAAAATTTAGGCGGAGCTTGGTCGGAGACTCGTTGGAATCAGCATATTCCACCGGAATCTTCATTGTGTTCTTGAGCTTCATCAGTTAAAACTTCAAACTCGCGTCATTTTTATGATTTCTTAATACGAACTTGTTTATGCACTCAAAAAAAAATCATATCCCCATACTTACATGCCTCAACTCCTCATCATTGTCATTTAATTTAGCTTTTAGAGTTTCATTGTTCTTCATATATTGGTGAAATTGTTGTTGTTATGTGATGTTGTGCTTACAGTAGTCTATGCCATGTCTAGATTTCATTCTTTGAGCTTTGTTCGATTTGATCTTTGATGAATTGTTGTTGTTATTCTTGGTTGATTAGTGAATACGATGAATCACTACAACATTTGTGGTCTCTGGCAACACTTTTTTAGGTAACATGTAATAATTGTTGCCTTAAATTCGTATAGGCAACAATTTATGGTTGTTTCCAAAAATATACTTGCAACCCTGATAATTGTTGTCTAAAATACTTTTTGGTACGTTTTTGGAATGTCACTCTTTTATTTTTTTGGCAACAATTGTTAATTGTGCCATTAACTGCTTTTGGGGACGATTTTAGAGTGTTAATATATTATTTTTTTTAGCAATGTTTGATATTTGTCTCCTAAAATAATTTTGGGAACATTTTTAAATCGTTGCATTAGTTCTAATAAAAGGCTACATTTCTTCAATGTTACATAAAATTTTAGCATCATCAAATTTTTGATGACAATCTTCCCTCCAAAACTTATAAACTAAAAAACAAATATTATCCTCTAAACATTATATATATATATATATATATATATATATATATATATATATATATATATATATATATATATATATATATATATATATATATATATATATATATATATATATATATATATATATATATATATATATATATATATATATATATATATATATATATTATATATATATATATATATATTATATATATATATATATATATATATATATATTATATTTTATATATATATATATATATATATATATATATATATATATATATATATATATATATATATATATATATATATTAAAAAATTTCTAATACATAATAAAATAATATATAACTATAATAATATATAACTATAAAATAGGCATTTATCTAAAATAAAAAATTCACAATAAAACCTTACACATTCTAAAGAAAAAATATTAAGTCAAACTTATCCACACTCCTCTCAATCTCACACGTTAAGATAAAATTATAAAAAAATTGAAAATAGAAAAAAGAAAAAAAAACTGAAAAGGAAAACAAGGTTTTCCCTCTTCTAAAATCCAATCCTCGAATCTCCTCTAAACAATGTCGTTGTCTTCTTTTCCCAGTTGATTCTCATTCCCATTGCTTTCTCTCTCAAACAACCTTCAATCGTTTTCTCTCTCAAACAACCTTCAATCGCACCACTTTCGAGCCCATCAGCATCATCGTCCTTTCTTCCAATGACGGCGAATTCCATTTCATCTCTTTTACTCTTTATTACATTTGCGTTTTCATTTTCTGATTATTTCTCTCTAGATGGTTCGTGCGAGCAACATCGATGTTTTCTCGGTTAAACCTTAATTAGGTATTTCATCGATTTCAACATCGTTTGGGAAAGAAACTTCGTCGTTATTGACTAGCTTTGTTGTTGTTGCTGCAGTAAAGGAAGTTGTGTTGAAATTGAAGTCACTTTTAACTAAGGACAAGCTTTTGGTTTCTGTTGCTGCTGGAATCAAGTTGAAAGTTCTTCAGGTAACAGAACCCTCTTATTTTTCTCCTTCATTTCTCCGTATAGAGTATAATTCATTATTATTAAATCTACACAAGTTTGAGTTAATATGTTTATACAAGTTATATATTCTATTTATTGTATATAAGCTGAAATTAGCAATGCTCAAACACTGGCACAGAAAATAACACTGACAAATGCACTGGTAATAATGAGAAAATGTCAAATGAAAATAGTTGAATATATCATATGTCTAAGGGTCAGACAATACTTTAACTTGAACGACCAATAATATATAGAAACTAAGTAAAAACCAAGCAACTTTGTTAATAAATTACCTCTAGTGTCACCTGTGGTCCATTATATGAGGTCTTCTTCTTATTTAGTCCATTGGATTATCAGTTTCAGCATGGACTAAATCTTAAGTTGGCCTTCCATAATCTCAATAATATTTATTCTCTACATTTTTCATACACCCGTGGATGATTTGTAGACAAAATATGTTGGAAACAGTTCCCGTTCATGCACGCACCGTAAGAAGAATCGTGTGTCCCATGCCTACTTGAACAGAAACCATCAACTACCATGTCAGAAGCTGTTAGAGCAATGTAGGTGGAGTTCTGTTGTTGTCCTTTGGATGCGAGTTTAATGATTTGGTTAGTTGTAAAAGATTTTCCTAAAGTGTAATTGTCGTCGTGAATTTGAGCACCGAGGGAGAGAGTAAGATTTACTGATTTCTTGTTGTTGGTGAGTTGATGATATCTCTCCATTGATTTCCACCATGTGGCAACAGAGGATTGTGATGTAGTTGTTTGTTTTGGAGAAGAGAGTTATGAAATCAGTGATGATGGCTCTTTGGGATGGTTTGAAATTTCCATACCAAATGAGGTTAATGGAGATTTTGCCATTAAGGAGATGAGCTTTCTAGCTGAGATCAAATGAAGCAGTGGAATTGTGAGAAAAACCGTGAAGATAATACTAATGTTAAGATAGGCATTTGTGTTACATAATGAGAGAAATAAGAAAGTAAATAGATATAGAAATGAGGTATTATGAGATGATTGAAAAGTGAGATGAGACTGTTAGTATATATAAGTGAAATTGTTTTGTAAAGGAAAGTGGAAAATAAGAGTAAGAGAAGGTAGAGTGGAGTGGTATAATTGAAGGTTTGTTATGTCTAATATTTGAGGAGTGTTTTTGCATTTCACTGATATCGTAAAGCCTTAGGTGCTTTTGTTTAGGTGTTGTTTGTTTCTATAGTCTAATGGCAATGTATATTTATATTTATAAAGAAAACAGAAACTTATGCAGTTAACTTGGCTGCAATTAAAGTATCTAACTTGGCTGCAAAACTATAAATGCAGAAAAATGTATGCATATTACTATGACAGCATATTAAAGTATTCCTTGACCAAATAAACTTTCAAAGCCAAATAAACCAAATTTTCAAAGCCAAATAAACCAACTTTTCACCTTCCATAATAGGCCAATCTCCATCCAAAGGATCCAACAATGACTTCACTTCTCCACCATTTAAACCATACAACACTTCATTCTTTATTCCTAAGGCTGATTTTCCAGTTACCAATATCAACAACAAAATTCCAAATGAATAAACATCTGACTTAGTAGTAAGTTCACCTGTTGCAAAGAATTCAGGATCCATGTATGCAAATGTTCCCTTTGCAAAACTAGTGATCCAAAACTGTGTACTATTTGTATTGTTACTCGAAGAACCGTCTTGATGCGATAGCATACGAATGATTCCGAAGTCGCTGAGCTTGCTTACTAGGTTTGCATCAAGGAGAATGTTGGAAGGTTTTAAGTCATCATGCATTACGCTGTGAGGTTTATTGGAATGGAGGAAAATTAGAGTGGAACATAGTTCTGTCGCGATGCGAATTCGAGTCTTCCATGATAATGGACGAGTGGTTTTGTCTTTGCAGATGAGATGATCTTCAAGGCTTCCATTTGGTAAATACTCATAGATAAGAGTTCTTGACTCTTGGTTCACTCCAATAAGTGTTATAAGATTCGGATGCCTTAACTTGCTCAATACATAGATGACTTTCTTAGATCTGAGATCAGTCATTCTCCTAGAATGGTACTTATCAGAAGCTGCTCCCATAACAAGGTTTTGTATGTTATACTTGGAGATGAGTTCTATAATCCCTTTTTCAATGGAATCCATTTCAATATGAAGTTTTTCTGCTCTCACCTGTATCAGAAAGTTATAAGCCCAAACTTAAGTAAGTTTTGAAATGAATGAATGATGCATACACATGGAAATTACCCCCATTCTTTGACATATAAGAAAGTAAGCATCAAGAGTCGTGTGCATCTCTTGATGTTCATTTTTCCTGTAGGCTTAAGATAATAAAAAAATATATTAAAGCTCAAACGAAACAATAATATAGTAAAATAATAAAAAAAAATACTTACTCATTACTCATAGGGATCTTAGGTGATAAGGCACATGCACATGAAGAATACAAACTCTCTTTCCTCCAGAATTTTGTATAGCCCAAACCATATTTAGTTAACGCATAAACTTACACTAATTGATAAATAATTATATTTATAATTTTACATATTAAAATAGATTTGGAGACCTTTAAAATTTTAAGATAATGTGTTAAAAATCTGATTGAATTTTATATTCAAACTTTGATACTCATTCTTATTAATATATATTTTTAATAATATATTTGTATCTCTCATTAGAACATACTTATAGATTTTTTTAAGAGTTAATATAATAATATGAAAGAAAGGTAACTTAGTGAAAATGTTATAAAACTTTAAAATTAATAAGTTAGATAAGATTAAATTAGATTTATCATGGCTACTCCTTATATTTTTTAGACTCTGTGTTGTGACAGTGACACAGGGCCGGGGCTGAACACATAACATTTTAAGTGATAATAGTTTTAAACACATATATAATATTTAACACATATATAATACTTCAACTCGTGATAATATTTTAAGTGATAATAGTTTTTCCTCAACACCTTTTTTTATGATATTTTTTCTAAACACCTTTAGTTAATAATTTTTTTTTTATGATATAGTCATGATGAACTCTTCTATTATGTTTTGAAGTATACCCTTATAGACTTATAGTAATATATAATTTATTTCATTTTAGAAAACTAAACATGATAAAGAAGGATTGGGTGGAGTTGCCTCCACACAGTCAAGATTATAAGGATGGTGTCAATTACTTTTTGGATATTGCGTTTACTAAAGGAATGGTTGAAGAAGAAGAGATTTTGTGTCCTTGTGCTGTATGTTGTAATGATAGTTGGGAAGTAAGAGATGTAGTGCATGACCATTTATGTAGCAAAGGATTTCTAAAGGGATACACTGAATGGATTTATCATGGTGAAGATGAAAACCTTATGGATCTTGATGACGATAGTGATAATGAAACATCATCTCATGATGATATCGATGGCTTGCTATTTGAGACATTTAAAGATGTGGCTGAAGGAGGTGGAGTACATGAAGGTCTAAATGAAGACGTGCCGGATGATATCTTTGAAATTCCTTTGTCAGAACTTCACAACCAAAAATCAATAGAGAGTGATCATAGTGACACAAGTTATGAAAGTGATGATGAAATCGATTATGATTCTAGTACTGATTAGGTAATGTTCACAATGTGTTCTACCATTTTGTTGATGAATATTGTTTATTATGTCTTTCTATGGTCTTAGTTTATATCATACTTTACAAATATTTGTATTGAGATATGCCCTTTTGTTGATAGATTGTGTTTGAACATTAATTGTGTTGTATAATTATGTAATTTTCCCCCTTTGTAGTTCATAGTTGCGGGCCATAATGGACAATGTAAGAAGTGTAAAAGATGGTGTATCGCATAAGAAGAGTGGTCGAAGTCCAACTAAAAGATTTGATTTTCCTCTTTTAGCAAGATCAAGTGCAGAATTGAAAAAGAAAGTACTAAAGCAAGTTAAGAAGGAAAAAATTGACAAGTTGCATGAGATGCTGCAGAGAAACAATAGAGAAAGGGTCCAGGAAGTTGTAGAAGTTATGGATGGTAATTAATTTTCTTGCTTCATAAGATTTTATAGAATTACGTATGTAAAATTTATGTTTTGGATTTCCTTTAGATATATTATTCCTAATGTTTTTTTATTTATGAATTTTTACAAAAATTAGAAACGCCAAAAAAAGGAACTCAACAAGAAAGAGTTCAAAAGATTGATCTCAATTTCGACAAAGAGACTATTACAAAGAAAATGGAGAGAGACAAACTCTCGCAACCAAAAGTAATGAAAGATCATGCACATGGTGACAAAGAAGTTGTACAAGGTAAGTAATTGTTTATTATGTATATATTACATTAAATTATTTCAAATATATTTTGATGAATTTTAACTAAAATTAGAAACACCAAAGAAAAGAACTCATGAAAAAGATACAATAAATAGAGAAAGAGTTCAAAAGGTTGATGACAAATTGGACAACCACATTGATATAAAGAAAATGGAGATACCTAAGCTTTTGCAACCACAAGTTAAGGAAGTTTTTACACATGGAAACAAAGAAGTTTCACAAGGTAATTAATATCTTTACATATACATTAAATTTATATTTTCTTCTTATGACATTATTTTGATGAGAAAATTACATTAAAATCAAGAATGCTGAAAAAAAGAACTCATGAGAATCTACCAGAGAATAATAGAGACAAAATTCAGAAGGTGGAAAAAACAGTTGCAAGGAAAATACTTATTCCTTCCAAAAATAAGAAACTAGAGAAATCTAATCTATCTTTGGAGACAATGATGTCAAAAACTGAATGCTCTAAAAAGGAAAAGAGAGTGCCAAAATGCCCATCAATGTTGATTGATGATTATGTAGAACTTCACAAGTCAAAGGAAATGGATGCAACCAAGTCAAATAATGGAGAAAAACCGGGCTGCAACGTTAATCCAATCTCTAGTCAAAATCAACCAAAAAAAGGAACTCAACAAGAAAGTGTTCAAAATTGGGCAGAGGTCAATGAAAAAGAGGCAAACACAAATAGAGAAGAAGAAAAAGGTAATTAGTTTCGTATTTCATAGTAATTATTTCATACATTATTTACATATTGGTAGCAAACATGTGATATCATGTTGTTGTGTTGATTACTTTATAGGAACATCCCAAAGAAAAACTCGTGGGAAAACTTTGTGCAAAAAGATTCATGCAAGAACTTTGGAAGAACGAGCAGAAGTAACATTTAATAAGGATGGTCAACCAATTGGTCCTAGTGATAAAGTAGTATCGGATTTGAGCCTCTTCTTGGGAACATTGGCTAGGAACTCAACATTTTGTCCTCCACGTTACACCAATTGGTCAGGAATGCCAGATGATAATAAAAAACGTTTCTGGAGATATACTAATGTATGTGTGTATATATGAATTTGAATGTCTAATTGTTCAAAAAATGTTTTATTTTTTGATCTTGTTTTATCTTATAAATTTTGTAGCGGAAGTTTATCTTGCCGATTGAAGCACAAGATTGGGTTGAGACCACTGTTAGAGATGCATGGAGAAGATATAAGCACAAAATTAAGAAGAATCAGTTTTTGAAGTATTCGAACATGTCTGAGAGACTCAAAAATCTTCCACTAAAGGTGCCCATAGCTTAGTTTAGAAGTCTTTGTGATTATTGGAGTAAGGAAGTTATACAAGTAAGACTAATAATTTTTTTATGTATGTGTATGATTTTTCACCTTTCTCTGAATGCCATAATCAAGTAAGGTTTATTAAAATAATTTTGTCAAATTTAAATGTAGGCAATAAGTGAAACTAACACTAGAAATAGAGCTCAACTAAAGTGGATGCATCGAATGGGTCCCAAAAACTTTGCTTTAACTCGTGAAAAAATGGTAACTTTATGTCGTTCTCAATAAAGTATTCCTTGTATGAATGATTGTTTGCTCAATTAAAATATTCCTTGGATGAATGAGTCTCTGAGAATTTTAATTTATGTCTTGTTTCTGTAATAGGATATTTAGTCCAGTGGTTGTTTAGTTATGGAATTACTTTAATTTCTGCAGCGTAAAAAGGAAAAAAGAGAGCCAACTCAATCAGAAATGTTTGTTGAAACTCGAAAAGGAAGTAAAGGAAAGAAGCTGGATGTAGAAACTGGAAAAGTAATTGTATGTAACATTGTTTATATAGTATGTTTACTTAATATAATCGGCTTATATTGTCTATAATAGTAGTTAATATTTTCATGCAATTTATGCTAGTCCCAACTTCAAGAAATGGTTGAAAAGGAGGAAAGTGATACATAAGCTTTTAAATCTGTTTTTGGAAAGGAGCGTCCCGGTAGGGTACGTTGTTATGGGAGAAACATAATTTAAACTTCCTTAAAGAGAAAGGTGGAGATTAATGCTCTGAAACAAGCACACAATGAAGAGGTCTCTACATTAAGGCATGAGTTTCTAGATCAGATTGATAGATTACAAAACGCTTTTAAGACCGTAATACAACAATGCAATCCTCAAATTAATTTGGAGTCATTAGAAGATTTGTCAGGATTTTCTCATAGAGATGCTAACAGTTCCCCAAAGGAAATGAGACCGCAAATTCATTCCTCTACATCAACTCATGCTCCATGTCAAGGAAAGATAACCATATATACCAATATTATTGATTTATGTATTGTTTGTTGGTTAAGAAGATATGATTTATGATAAAGAATGATGAGTGCAATACTTTTGCCATGAATATTCTTACTCTACATTAATTGGTAGAATAGAAGAGACCATACTTTTGTTTAGTGTGTACAATAATCTTGTTTCATGTAAACTATCTCTAAAACTTAATTTAGGTACAATATATTTTGATAACATTTTTTAAAATAAAAGATTAAATTATTTTGTTTCTGTAAATTGTTTTGGGAAGATATTCAATCTTATAAAAACAATTATGATGTATTTTGTTTTATTTTTTTTATGCAGCAATGTATTAATGAAGATGTTGAAAATGACGATATAAATGATGAAATTCAAGAGGACGACATAGATGATGGATTCTAAGGGGACGTTGCAGGTGATGAATTTCAAGAGGACGACATAGATGTAGATGATGAATTTCAAGAGGACGATATAGATAGTGAATTTCGAGAGGACGAGGTAGATGAAGAATTTCTGGAGGACGACATATGTGATGAATTTCAAGAAGACGATATGGATGATGAATTTCAAGAAGACAAACTTGAATGAGTTGGATGATTTCTTTTTTTTTTTTTGCTTGTAGTTGAAAGCATTAAGCTTGAACTATGTTTTTTGTTATTTTGCTAGGGTCATACTTCAAGTATTAAACTTAGTTATTATTATAAGTAATGTTACGTTTGGCATTTTGTTTACTAACTACTATCTTAAATTAATGTTTGAACTCAATTTTATTATAATATAACATTTGTGGATGGTTAAATTTGATCTTGTTTAAGTTACAATCGATATTTTTTTGAAGCCAATCATCACCGACTAAATTATTTAAAAAATAATTATAAAATGTATATTTTATGGGGATACTGTAAAAACAATCCTCTTGATTCAAAAGGTGGGGACACTGTAAAAAAATTCCTCCTTATTTTATTGGGACACTTTAAAAATAATCCTTCTGATTCAGATTTAAGGAATCACTTATTAATTGTAGCTTCATTTGGCAACACTTAAAAAGCATCACCTAAGAGGCCACGAATAATCGTCCCCTATTCCTTTTGTAGCAACACTTAAAAAGTGTCGCCTCAGAGGACACGAATAATTGTCCCCTATTCCTTTTGTGGAAACACTTAAAAAGCGTTGCCTTAGAGGCCACAAATAATCGTCCCCTATTCCTTTTGTTTAGGCGACGTTTTTAAAAATCGTGCCCAAAGATCATGAAAAAATGTCCCCTTAGACAATAGGCAACTCTCGAACAGGAGACGCCTAGAAAACGTCCCTTATTCTTTTAGGCAACATTTTCCAGAGTTTTGACAACATTTTTGAATGGTTGCTGGAGAGTCTAAATGTTGTAGTGAATGTTCATGCACATGAAAGAGAATAAGGAGAGAGAGAGGGGGGAAAGAATGCCACATCAACACCAGGTATATGTCAAATGATCTTCTATTTTGACTTTGATAACGGAGCAAACGAAAAGGACTAACGTGTCGTTATTTGAATAATTAAAGAATCAACTTGAAACTTTTTAAAATTGAAGAACTAAAATGGACTCCAAGGTAAAATTAAAAGATCAAAAAGGATATTTTGTCTATTATATAATCACTCTCTATATAGTCACTATGCAAAAACTGATTTTAGGCAGCACTCCATAGACAACATTTTTTCCCAAAGTGTTGCTATAAGTTCAAAAAAAAACTATATACTAAATTGAGAAAAAGCGCTGCTAAAGGCTAACTTTAGAAAGCACGGCTAAAGGTCATACATACGAGAGCGCTTTTAAAAAGCGCTGCTATAGGCCACACTTTAGAAAGCGCTGCTAAAGGACGTTTTTTAGAAAGCGCTGCTATAGGCCATAGAATAGAAAGCGCTTTTTATGAAAAAGCGCTGCTAAAGGCAATACATAAGAAAGCGCTGCCTTATGTCATTAATTCCTAATTACTAAACTTACAATACTAGCAAGT